ATATTGTCTTCACGCATACATTTTTCTACCCTCATGTAAGTCACTCCTCTCCACCAAATGTAGATGGAAAAATGTATGCGTAAAGATAGTATGTTCCGCCCCCCCTTCGGGGGGGCTCCACTTCGTTAAAAATAACCCTACCCACCCTATGTCAGAGGTGTGGAGTGGATCTCGCTTCACGAGGAAATACGTCACTGCATATGATGTGCATTTAGTCTGATTTCGTCGGTATGACAGATTTCCTAACCCTAAAAGGTGTCAACTTTAACAATTAATATCTCGCTTCGCAGGGCAGAGCGACGATTTTTACTTTTACAGTTGTGTTTTACGCATCGAAATACACAATATTGCTAAGTTACAGTCAGATCGGTGAGGTTGCCCCTCTCCTTCAGTATTACCGAACGCTTCTCATCTGGAGCTTCCACGATTCGTAATTATCGTCATTGAGTTTTTCGATGCTCTGCGTGCTGTTAAACGCTGCCATTTTTGCTCGTGCACGAACTACGTGGTCTTGCACTCACTTTCCTCGATCGGGTTTTTTCTGTTATTAACTGCTTTCCCTTCCAACGAATGTGTGAGCCTGGGCCCATAACCTGTCAGGTTTAACAGTAGGGATAAGCAATGGAATGTGAACACACTATTATAAATGGACATGCATGCTTGTATATTTCACGACGTGAATACAGCGAGCGAGAGTCGGGCTACTGCCGTGGTAGTGGGCCTTCTTCCCTAAGCGTGATGTCATAGCGCCACGTGATCTACAAGTACAATTAGAACGCAACAGATGACGCGCGGAGCGCGTTTGGATCACATCGATTTATTCTAACAGTTATTCCTACCTTTACAATCTTTCTTCTTGTCCAGAATAATATTTCAAGAAGTTCACAAATTATGAAAACTGGTACAGAACTGGTACACAACTGGTACACAATGATGCTTACAATTAAGTCAGCTACGAAACATGAAATGTCAGCCGACGTGTTCGAGCTCGAAACCAATCTAACTCTTGACGCTCGCACTCTTTGCCTAAAATAAGTGAGGTACGAAAACGCGCGTAAACGTTGACAACACGCGACGACGAATATTTCATTTGTTTATTGACTAAACAATGCAGCGCGCGCAAGAAGACTAGAGATCAGGAGGACGGACTGCCTGTCGATCGGTAAATGGACGGCGCCATCATCCATTTACCGATCTTGAATCCGTCTTCCTTATCTCTAGTCTTCTTAGCGCAGCAGAAATTGCGCGCATAACCGTATGGCAGAATTAAAGGCATCGTCTGAACAGGCCCTTAGTTGAAGATTGACGTTGATGAAAAATAAAGATGTCCTACAGTCGAATTGAAAAATACCGAGCACTGAAGCGCCAAAGAAGAGAAAGTGATAGTAGTTTTGAAAGAAATAATGAATTTAGATCTGAGCCAAGTGCAAATACATCAGACAAGAGTATTTCACAAAATACGAGCACGAGCACGGACAACGAGCAAGCAGTAAAAACTAAGGACGTAACTAACTTTTCAGAAACCAGGTAAGCGCAATGCAATTTTTTAATTGTTTTGTAGGTATCAATTCTTTCCGAAAAAAAATAAATGTGAAAGATTTTCCAGCAGGACTTAATGCTTTGCGGTTGGCCTTCCCCTTGTTAAACATTCTAAAAAGAAAGAAAACATTTTCCTGGCATATATAATATCGTCATACTCTACTGCTTATGTTTTAGATCGATCGTGGATGTTCACATATCAGAAGCATCTTCCAGCTCAGAATTCGATAGCAATAATGAATAAACAGAATCATGTCCAATATCTGTTGCGAGTGAACATACATGTATGGAACTGCTCAACACTCCTGGTGACCAAAGATTCTTGAAAGAAAAACTGCGAGACTGTGCCATAAAGCATGTAAACCATATCACACACAGTTTTTTAAATGATCTTTTGTATATTCTGCGGTCTGAAGGTCATACAGATCTACCAAAAACTGCGGAAACTTTGTTGCGTACGCAAAGAACTCAAGATTGACTTCAGCCAATGTTGTCAAAAAAGGGTACGTTTGGTACTTTTATTTATCTAGGCATAGCAAATCAACTTCAATTACAAATCGTGGATTCTGAATATGAAGGAAGGGAAATAAGAGTTTTAATCAACGTCGAGGGTTTACCAATATACGTCCATTCTAAACAACAAATGTGGCCGATATTATTGCAAATATTACACAAAGATTACTATTGCAAGCCTATTGTAGTTGCATTATACTGCGGTGATTCAAAACCACATGATGCTAATGACTTCATGGAAAATTTTACGGAAGAATGTACGACACTGATCGAACAGGGAATAGTTATTAGTAGTACCTTGTTTACGTTTCGAATTGCCGCATTTGTTTGTGATACGCCAGCGCGTGCCTTTATTAAATGCTGCAAAAGTCATACTGGCTTTTATGGTTGTGAACGTTGCGAAATACGAGGGAAAACGGTTAACAAAAAAAGAATTTATGTTCAGACAAATTGTACATTGCGTACCAAAGATTCATTTATAGCAAAAAGTCAAACTGATCATCACATATCAGATAGAACATCTCCTCTAGTTCGAATCCCCGGATTTGATCCGATCGGAGGGGTTCTGGACTACATGCACTTATTGTGTTGTGGCGTAATGAAGAGCCTCTTGGATAAATGGCTTTCGAGTAGAAAACAAATGGGAAGCATCGGAAGACGTGGACGAAATAACTTAACAAAAATTCTTCTTAATTTGTCAATGCAAATTTCTATCGAATTTCAACGGAAATTATTTGATGTAACAAACATAGCTAATTGAAAAGCAACCCAGTACAGATTTATTTTACTGTATGGAGGTTTAGTTTTACGTGAAGTAATGCCATCGGAAATGTATCATCACTTCTTATTACTCTTTGTAGCATGTCGTATATTGTGTAGTCGTACACAGGCATTAATGTATACAGACGATGCCGAATCGTTTCTTCGACAATTTTTCAAACAAATCGAAGTTTTATGGAAAAGATTCCCAAACTATGAGTTTTCATTGTCTCATTCATGTGGCAGATTATGTGAGAAACATGAAAGCTCCATTAACAGATTATTCGTCTTTTCCTTTTGAAAATTGCTTAGGTAATATTAAGAAACTGATTAGAACACCTCGAAATCCTGTCGCTCAAGTTTTCAGACGTCTTTCTGAAAATAAATCCGACTCACAAATCATTAAAAAATATGATTTGGGAGTAACCAATTGTAAACTTCGTGTACCACAAAACGAACGTATTAATTCGATCGAATATTTAAAAATAAATATTCAAACCATGACAATAGGAATAACTGAGCCCAACAATGTAGTTAAATTAAAGAATGATAATATTTTTAAAATCGATCGTATTTTCTGCATGAATGATAATCTCCATAGAATATATATTCAAGGACAAATGGTCAAAAATAAAGGTAATGCCTTTATCGAACCAATGGCTTCCAGTAGCGTAGGTATCTACAAGATAGGATTAAGCTTTGGAAAACATACTCCCTTGACAATATCGTGGGGAAGTGTTTGGTATTCTCTGTTGAAGCGCGTAAATATGCTGTAACTCTTTTACATTTTACTTAATTAATCAAATATCAATTCAAATATTCAAAAATACTACAGTAACCGACATGTATAATAAACATTGTAAAATAAATATTAGATTACGAAATAAAAAATTGCTTTGACACTATTCGTTTTAAAATATTTTGCTGCCTGTATCACTCACCAACACTGGGCCAATGTGTCCCCCAGTGCTGAACCAATGGTCTGACTTCAGCCAAGATAATTACTATCCCAGTACTATTTCATGTCTTGCCCCAGTGCACGACCAGTACTGAGACGACATTCGGTCGGGTATCGAAAATATTTTGCTGCCAGTACCAGACACAAACACTGACCCAATGTCTTTCCAGTACTTGTGTCGGCACTCGTGCAGCAGACAAAGTTGCTTACTCCCCAGTAAGCCGACAAATGTCGACCCAATACATACCCAGTACTGAGACGACTCTCGGCCGTAGATCAATATTATTTCCGGCTTAGTACACGGTCAGTACTGAGACGAAACTTGGCTCGAGACAGAATACGTTTGCATAAAAGTACTGGTCACCGAGATTGGCACAGTATTACTGTAGCAGTTTATCCGTACTGGGGCAGTACCAACCATCAAATCTTGGCAGCCAATATTGTGCCACTTCTGGGCCATGTGGACAACTCTGGCAAAATACCGACATTCGTACATGGGTACACATACATGCGAAACGTGACGAGAAAAACAAAGACAGCTGGGCGAAAACAGAGGTACTGGTGAGATTTAAACCCCGGTGACTTTGAGCCGAGGAAACGATCTAACGTTTTAGGGGACTCGACCGATAGATGTGCTCGCGTGCGGACGTGTAATCGAGAGCAAATTATAATTGTGAGACACTTGAGGATGGAGAATAAATTATTCTTTCACCGTATATTCTTTATTCTGACACGATAAATATAATTAATCCCGCACGCCAGTCGATCCTAAACATGTTTTAATGTCAAATTTGCTGGGATTGTCTTTGGTGTCGTGCTGTAATTGTTTAAGTTTTTTTTATACAGGGTGAGTCATTCCACATCCGACAAAATTTGTAAGAAGATAGAACAGATCAAGATGAACGGAAAAGTTCTGTACCATTTTGCAATTTTCGTAATAGTTAACGAGTAATTAATTATGAAAAATCGTTGTCTTAGGCCGGCCTACCACCCAATTCGAGCGCGTGGCGAGATGTGATCGCCCGGTGATCGATATTGCCATGCGCACGGAAAGTTGTTTATCGTATTCGGCAATGGCTAGAGACCCTGTAATCAGAAACTGGCCATAAAAGAGTTTATCAAATTTCTACGAGTGAGAGAGAAACATAGGCTATTTCACTCTTCTACGATTCTACGATCGTAGAAAAGTGAGGTAGCCTATGTTTCTCTTTCACTCCCAGAAATTTGACGAACTCTCTTATGGCCAGTCTCTGATTACAGGGTCTCTAGCAATGGCTACGCACGAACGACGCGTAACGCTCGACCCCCGTTACGAGCTATAACAATTTCTAAGCTTTTTTTAATCAAAATTAAATTCGGCATAAAAATATTTGTGCGTATGTATGTATGTATGATACATAAACATAGAAAAATATGGCGAGGGGATGACAGCGCGCCGTTGCACGCTAGCTTACTTCGTCGTACCGCGCCTAGACTCGCGTCGCGATAGCCGGCTACACGTTTGCGATCAGACAAAATAAATTAAAGCGAAATTAACCGATGGAATCTACATCTGATTTATTTATTATTTATTTTACGCGCCGCTCATGCGTAGCCATTGCCGATTGCGATAAACAACTTTCCGTGCGCATAGCAATATCGATCACCGGGCGGTCACATCTTGCCACGCGCTCGAATTGGGCGATAGGCCGGGCCAAAATGACAATTTTTTATAATTAATTACTCGTTATCTATTGGAAAAATTGTAAAATGGTACAGGACTTTTCTGTTCATCTCGATCCGTTCTACTTTCTCAAAAATTTTGTCGGATATGGAATGACTCACCCTGTATACAGGGTGCTAAAAAAACTAAGTCCCATAAATTTGTGTGATGAAAGAATAGACGAGTACAAGCATTTTAAGTATAGGGACCATGGGTCGGCGACGTTTTATTACGACGTGATGGGCGTTTAATTGAATCGTCACAACGTCTGCGATGCAATGATGTTATTTCGTCAATGTGATATATGTATTTATAATAACTGTTCGAAGTTACGATCTCCAATGTTCCGACAAGAGTCACAGCGACGGAGCAATGACTGCCGCGTTCTTTGGAATATTCCAGGCATGTGTCGGATGGTTTCAGATGCTTCTACGATGCTAGTTCTAGTTTTGAGAAATGCGTAGCCAATCAACTTGCAGCTTTTGTTGAACAGCTATATTGCTTTAG